GCAGAGCTGGATGAACACAGCAGGCCAAGCAGCATCAGAGGAGCAGGAAAGCTGACATTTCGGGCCTAGACCCTTCTTCAGAAAATCACAATGCAGTATTACCCCATACACATAGGTGCTGCTGCAACACTCATGCTGCCTACCAATATAAATTATCATAGCCTACAGTCAGTGCTAGGAAAACAATTGACAGAATATATGACTGAGGAGGGGTTGGAAAATCACAAGAGGATAGCAAGAGTTAAAGATCGGTTGCACTACTTGATGGCCAAGCTGCATGTGTAAAGGGGAATGCACAGTTTGATTGGAGCAGGAGATGGAAGTTATTCTAAAACCTTGACGTGCTTTAACCGAATGGGGATGCACTGCACCCATGTCTGCTGCCACATCTGCAGGCTTCAAACAACAACTTCAACCAACTTGAAAAACAATGAAGCATCCTGACAATTGCAGGAAGAGCCAGCAGAGTTCAACCCTAGTTGTGGATCTACTTACATGGTGCTAGTGGGCAGTCTTTCTTGCTGCTGATTGCATATGTGCAATCATGGTGAACTGAAGTAATGAGCTCAATGATGTCAACTCAGTGTTTGACACTGACTGACCTCTGACTTGCTGAATTAGGCATCTCCAGTTGATGCTCACCGAATGGTATGTGGTGTGGTCAGGCTGGGGTGTTTATGGGTGTGCAGTGTGGACACTGTCTTGGAAGTAAAATAGCACGTGCAGCCTTGGAAAACTAGGCACAATAGAATCCAGGTCTTCAGCCAGGGAATCTGAATTCCAATGTAGTAGGGGCGAAGTCATCAATAATTTCTATAGAAATACTTCAATAGAAGCTATTTGAAATGGTCTTAACGCCCTAGCACAGAGTAAAAAATAACCAACACTTAAAGAGCCACAGGCTAATTAAGAACACAGAACAAATCTGTAAAAGGAATTGAATCTTTGAAAAATTTATAGGTGTTCCTGGAAGGCAGTAAAACTTGATTGACAAAGGAATATCAAGGATATTCTGAGCTTTGCTTTTTAAAACGTCTTCAATAAGTTTCTGCAAAGGAGTGTTGTTGATGAGACTAAGATATTAAGGCCAACGTGAGAGAGACTGGGGTAAAGAGAAGGCTTACAGAGGTTGTAATAGTGGGGGTTCAGGGATTTGAGGGGGCGTAGGGTTCACGATTGCTGACTACCATGCTGACAGCAATCAAAGGTGGATTTGATGATCACAGAGAATTTCAATCATGGGGAATGACCCTATCATATGGAGTAGGAAACAGATTTTTTTCACAAGCAGCAACAGCACACTCCTGGTCCAAAAGCAGTGCCGAAGAAGCATTTACTTCTTCCATGTGGCAGTTCTCATGTAGTCTTGGACAAGTAACAAATGCCTTGAGTTTTTTTTTGGATAGAGTAAAACTCCAATGTTTGTTTGTTCCTGGATAAGCTCCTGTACAGAACCAAACTGCTTTCGTTACATACATACTTTGTGTATGTACATTTTTATGAATAAGGTATATTTTTGAAATTAAAAGAAGTTCTTATCTCCCTTAAGCTAACAGCTTTCCCAAGAGCTGGAAGATGTGACCTACCTGTGTCACAGTTGGAAGAGAGATGGAATCTGAGGCCTTAAGATATTTAAAGAAATGTATTTTAAAGACACATTGAAAAGAGTTACCTGCCCCTTGTGAGCAGGATGAATGTCTATTCCCAACCACCAACTCTCTCCATTCAGTTACATTTAAACCAGAAATGTGTGGGTTTGGGCCAGGGTTTGAAATTATTAAAATGCCAACAGTTGTTGTGTCATGGAATACTCCCCACTTGCCTGGTTGAATGCTGCTCCAGCGACACTCAAGAAGTTTGACAATGACCAGGACGAAGCAGCCTGCTATATTAGTATCAGATTCACAAACACCATGTATTATTTACAAAATACACTGCAGAAATTCACCAAAGGTCCTTAGGCAGCACCTTTCAAACCCACAAACGCTTCCACCTAGAAGGACAAAGGTAGCAGATACATGGAAACACAATCACCTGCAAATTCCTCTCCAAGCCACTCACCATTCTGACTTGGAAATCTATTGCTGTTCCTTCCCTGTTGCAGTGTCAAAATCCTGGCATTCCCTCCCTTAGGGCACTGTGGGTTTATCTACTCCAACTGGATCACAGCAGTTCAGGAAGGCAACTCACTGCCACCTTCTAAATGGGAGCTAGGGAGAGCAATAAATAGTGGCATAGCCAGTAAGGCCCATATTCCATAAGTGAATTTTAAAAAATCTAACTTGACCTAAACGGATCTGTTCTTAAAGGTTAAAATTCATTCCCTTCCCCTCTCTCTCTCTGTTGCTCAACCTGCTGATTGTTTTCATGATTTTTACTTTGAATTTCCTGAATCTGCAATATTTTTCTTTAATTTCAGTTGGTTGTGTAGGTGGATGTCAAATGAAATTTAATTAAAAGAGTGATGTGGGCTGATCTGTTTTGGGAAGAAGAAATGGACAGTTACAATTGCACCTTAAGCAGTATAAAGGATGAAGGGTTCAGATACATGCACTAGAAGGACAAGTTAATTTAAAAAAAACTTTTGAAATCCTAGAATAAGGCTGTGCAGAAGGTGACCATTTGGCCCAGTGGGTCATCTGGGATATCTCTTTTGAAGAGTAGTTCAGTTATTCCCATTCCCCTGCTTATAGGTCAGATCCCTGCAACATTTCTTCTCCTTCAAAGATTGATCCAATTATTTTTGGATGGCAGCTTTTGAATTTGTCACCATCATCCATTTGTGTCAGACCATGGATTTCAAGTCCTAACGGTATAGGCTTCAAGGCTCTGTAAATAATTTCAAAATCAGTAAGTTAATGCCAGATCTATGCATGTTATTTGTTAAGCCTGGTTGGAATTTTGTGACTAGTTGTGACTGTTCTCTTTAACAAAATGTGGGAAGGCAGTGCTTGGAGAAGTTACCAGGGATAAGGGATCTTTGTTATGAAAAGAGAGAAGAGAAATTGCAGGGTTGGGGGTGGTGGTGGTTGGGGGTGGTGCTCAGTTCATTTTAAAAAACAATGTTTAGAGATTTGATAGAGATATTTAGAAATATGAAGTTTTGACAAGATAAATAGGGGAAAATGTTTCCCTTGTTTAGTGAAACTAATAAAAAAAAGCCACTCTATCACCAAAGCAATGATGAAAGAGGATAGGAGAATCATTTTTATGTGGTGAAGTTTTTGGCTATGGAACTCATCAAGGTTTTAAAGCTGAAGTCAATAAATATTTCAAAAAGATAAACTGAAAAAGATATACTATAAGGTCCAGGGAAATGGAGTGAGATATTGGAAATGTTTTTCAGTGGGATGGCACTGGCAAGCACTGCAAAATGATTTTGTTGTGAACTTCCTGGGATAAGGTGCATGCAGGTACAGTGGCAATGTTTAAAATACATTTGAATAAGTACACAAATAGGAAAGGTTTGGAGGGATATTGGCCAGATGCATGCAGATGGGACTAATTTAGTTTGGGAACATGTCCAGTGTGGACTATTTGGACTGAAGGGTGTGTTTCCATGTTGTATGATTCTATGACTCTAATGTTATCTCTGATCTGTCGTCAAGAATGGGTCATATTGGATCAGCTGCTGTAGACGTGTAGTTCATAACAAGATGTGCATCCTGCAGACAACCTTCTTTTGCTTTTTTACATGACTGTTTGAAGGCAAAATTACTCTATTTGATCCTCACATTTGAAAATTAAATCAAAGAAAGGAGGAGACAATTATAAATATTATTCTGGAGTTTGCTGTTTTAAAAGTAGCATATAAATTCAATTTGTTGTATTATACTGCATTAAACACCAGATATTTATTGATATTTATTGTGATGGTCTAGATTCTTGCTTTGAATAATTCAACCAAATTGACAGGGCCCAGTTAAATTCAGCACTCAGTAGGCAACAGCGAATACCAACGCAGAAGCTGAATTCTAACTGTCTCCTCGTCTATTGCAATGATGACACTTTATCCTACCTTGAATTGTTCTGTTCTTAAAGATGGCAGGGATTGGGTGAAGAGAGGGAAAAGAATAAAGGATACATGTTCACGTACAACAAATCTTCAGGTTAAACTGCAGACTTTAGACAATGTATGCCTACCTACAAAAAAAAAGTAATTACACAAACAAACTGCATAATTATCCAAAGAATTCCCAACTCAATGAAGATTAATTTACTGCACAGATGTCGCTGTGGATCTTGCAATGCACAGAGAGTTCAAGCTGTGAAGTGCACATACACTGATTTTAATTACTCTCATTGCCTAACATATGAAATGCTGGCTCCTTTATTATGAAATACGGCTGTTACATTTCACACATACTGGTTGTCACTTTGATAAAATTACCACTTGTTCATGCTGTATCTTTATGTAACCCTTGCTAATAATTTATTAGGTAAGTGGATGAATACTGGGCCAAAATTGCACGAATGTATCACAGTGCACTGTGCTCTCGTCCAGTGGTTAATTTTAAGTCAAATTTAATTGTTTAGAAATATATATTTTCAGTTCAACAATCTAAAAGGCTGAATGAGCCATCAGTTGCTGGATGATTTGAAATAAAAGAACAGGGACTTTGCTTTTTGAAGATCTGGGTTTTGCTTCAATTGAGTCCTTTCCCACATATGAAACTATCATGATCAGTACTGTGGCTTTTAGTCAGAAAATTTGTTTGAGAACACCAAATGTACTGTCTGTGCATTAAGGAGAAGATTGAACTTAATGACAATGCTTTTACAATCAATTAGAGTATCCTGGTAGTCAAAAGTGCAGGGATACTGAATTTGAGCAAATTATGGCGTAGATTTTCACGACCTGTGAATGGTACATTCGCCAAGAGAACATGATAATCCATTGCCTACCAATATGTTTTCTTCAGGTATAGCCATGCTATTGATAACTGAAATGCATTTCATTCCGTCCGATTCATTACTACTTTTGTTTCACCATTGTGCAGGTAAACCTTGTCCTTGATGATGGGAAGTCATTGGGCCTGATGATCCGAGGTGGTGCTGAATATGACTTAGGAATTTACATCACAGGAGTGGACCAGGGATCTGCAGCAGAAAGTACAGGACTGAAGGTACCATTATTTAATGTGCTGACATTTTCAAACAGAGAATGCCCACATATATTGGCTTGTACTGTTGGATGTTTCAAATCAAGCAGAATTAACTTTATGCCTATGCTTAAAGATGTTACTATGGACGTTAGGTCATAGGTTCATGTCAACTGGGATCACACATTATAGTCACTTTTTAAAACATTTACGCCTGGGAAATGTGTCACACTGGAATGGCTGCACTTATTGCCCTCTCCTGGTTCCCTGGAAAATGATTATTCATCTCCTCCCTCGGTAATTATTTCACAATTTTTGTTAAACCACTTAAGAAGTCATGTTGGTCTGGACACTCCTACATGCCAAACAGGGCAGGGCTCACAGACTTCATTTCCTAAAGGTCATTACTAAACTGCTCAGTTTTATCATATTGTAGAAGTATTCATAGATGCTTTATTTTCCCCAGTGACATTTCACTAGATTTATTGATCTGATTTTGTAACCAGCTGTCATGTGATATGTATTTCAAATCTCTGCCTTGCTAGGCTTGTATCGTAAGTATGATACTATTAGTTCTTTTGTAGAACAGAACTTGAGCATGACTGAAAAATTTTAAACTAGACAGCTTGACTCTAATTGGCCAATCTTTGGAGTGTTTGCCTGCATGCTTGGCATCACACTAGCACTGAAAGTCATATACCAGATCATTCATTTGTGTGATAAGCAGAACACCTTGTTAGCTTGGTGGCAGCATCCTGTTAGTGGCAGTGCTAGCAATGCAGGCATTATACCCCAAAGACAAGCGGATCATATCAAACAGCGAATCCATTTGGCTATTTACAATAAGCAAGGTACCGACTGTATCCAACCCGTCTACACTTACAAAACTCACACCACCATGTCCTAACATTCGATGTGATTCTGAAAAGGACAACATTGGTTATATTATTCTGAATAAGCGAAGAATTCCATTGACAATCAATTTAGGATCATCAGTCAGGCTCATGATATGAGCGCAGTTCAAACTGGTATTGCAAGTGGAAGCTACGTATATTAATATACAGGACCCCTTTCTTTGCAGACAGAAGGGACATTTGCATGCACTCTGCCTGTTTCAATTCAACATAAAAGGCCATTCACTGGTTTGTTTCTCAGGGCAATGCCTTGACCAATCGGAGTCAACTTGCCTGGTTTAACTTAACCTGGAAAATTTAACCACAGCCTGGCAGTTAACAGTCAATCAATGTTTACTACTGCTTTCTCTATAGCAACATCTCTACCAATCAGAGCTCACTTGCTAACCAATCAGCACGCTCTTCTTGTGCAGAATAAATGTTGATTTCCCCTCTATGAGTATTGTTGCAATTATCCCGATGGGTACAAGATGAAAAGGTTCAAGAAAATGTTTCTTTTTTTTTCAAACACTCCCATGCTATTGTAAACCTGTTCCAGGCAGGCACAGAGACAAGTTTTTTTTGTATAAGCCAGTTAGTATCTGAAAGGGTTAACTGCAATCATGTGATATGCTCCATCCATCAGTATATAAAGGACTGTTCCTAGAAGGAGTGAACTATCTTATATTCCACTTTCTAAGTGCTAAGTTTCATGTGGCGGAATAATAATGTGTAATAACACTTAAGACTCAGGTCTCACAAAGACACTATCATGTAATTCTGATACGATGTAATTAACTAGTAATTACTATTTAATAAACCAATGGTTAACAAATTCAGCTTCCCTTCTGCTGAAGAGTTCATGTGGACATCCTTCCCCAGTATCAATAACTTAGACTAAAGCCAATAAGGATTGATGACAGTAGATCTACCCAAGGTGTCTCAGATGGTTTCAGCGGACATATCCCCAACATATACCAGAGTCGAAACTCAACCACTGAGAGAGTGGAAATTCTGAAGGCAATCCACCATTGAATTCATTCATACATTTCTGAGCACTTGATAAGTGAGGTATTGGAAGGGGCATTTAAAGATGCCAAGAAGCTCATAGGACACTTTTTTACTTATTCTAAAGTGACGGGGAAGGTGGCAGGAAGTGCACATAATAAAAAGGTTGGCACCAAAGAACTACCCACCGCTTTCCACCACCTCGGCAATTACGTTCACGTCAAGAAGATCCAAACCACCACCAATGAAGGGTCTTTGATTGATTGAGACAATGTAAGAGCCTCAATCCACCAATTAATTATCTTCATGACTGGGAAAATAGGGCAACCTAGGTTGTAAGTTAGCCTTGATTTTCCCTAATTACAGGGCATTTAAGTTGGCTCACAGATGGGGGGATAAGTGTGGCTGCTATTTGATGGCTGCCTCCCGCACCCGATGAAAGCCGAACTAAAAGGAATCACTTGCCATTTTTCTGGTCACCATTTTCAGATGTTGCTGTGCCTTTCTGTGCCAGCTTCAGCTGGGGACAGGCATCCCCACTATAGGACTAGATTGGCAAAGAAGTCCACTGGGTCACCCTTTGGCACTTGATCCAGCAGCTTTCCTCACTGGCAGAGGCTCATTTACTCTTAAAGACTGCACTTTGCAGCACAGAAGGATGTCATTCAGCTCTTCAACTATCGTAGAATCCCTACAGTGCAGAAGCAGGCCATTCAGCCCATCCATTTGACAATGACCCTCCAAAGTGTATCCCACCCAGACCCACCCCCTACCCTAATACCCTGCATTTACCATGACTAACACATCTAGACTGCACATCCCTGGACACTATGGGCAATCCACCCTAACCTGCACAATTTGGACTGTGGGAGGAAACTGGGGCACCCAGAGAAAACCCCATACAGACACGGGGAGAATGTGCAAATTCCATACAAACAGTTGCCTGAGGGTCGAAGAGAACCTGGGTCCCTGGTGCTGTGAGGCAGCAGTGCTAACCACTGAGCCACCGTGCCACCCTAAAATATTGTGAATCAATATCGAAGAGCAAGTATTTTCTACGTTACATAGAATCATAGAATTAATTACATTCCCCAGCTATTACCCCATAATTTTGCAAATTAGTCCTCTTCAAGTAAGTGCCCAATTAGTCTTTGGTATGTGGTTTGATTCCTCTGCCTAAGGACAGATCCTTGGTTCACTCTCTGTTGATACTTCATCCTGAGCCATCTTCTTGGCAGTGCTTGTTTAGCAGAGGTGGTTTGTCATTGCTTTCTATGCTTGGGGACAGGACAAGGAGACAGATCCCAAGTCCACCTCAGGAACAGCAATTGAATTCTTGCTGTTGGTGTTGTTCTGAACGATATTCTAGCCATCTTTTCAACTGCAATAACCAGCCCCAACATACCAAATTGCTCTTTGAAAATGAAAATTGAACCTGATTCTTCCAGTTTCAGAAAGTACATAACAGAACTTTATAACCCTTTGTGCAAAGCATTTTTTCTCTTATTTCTCTGCTAGGTTTATTACCACCTGCTTTGTTCACTCCTGGCTGAATCTGTACAATATAAAGATCTGAAAGGGCCAAAGATGGAAAATAATGTACAGAACGAAAGTCAATTGATTGTTCAGATGTACTTTTTAACAGCCAGATGGCTGTTGTTAAATCAATCTGACAAAATGAGATTCAACAAAGGGACCTTTTTTGGATGTGTTGTCTTGATATAACAGCCTGTTTATAGAGGGAGCATTGAAATGTAAAGAGATTGCCAGGGATGTTCTGCTAAGCCCAAGAATTCTTGCTCATTTGTTTCAGTAGGTGATGTTACTTGGCTGTTGTGGCCTATATTATGGTCAGTTTAATAGTGGAACCTAATTACAGACCATAGACTGGGTTTACAATTTCAACGACCTGTAGTCTAAACATTTGTCTTAAAACTAGTTGTTGGAAGAGCAGATTAAGGATTCTCTTCTGGAAGAATAGAGCTGGTTCGAAATGACTTGACTGAAGTTTTAATTTTCTAAAACTCTTCCTTGGTTTTTAAATAGAGGAAGTGATGTTAAAAAGAATGCAAGTGCACCTATAGTAATCAGTCAGAACATATTACCAGAAAGGAACAGTAGTAACAAGAAAATTGGATCAATTTGTGAAAATTGCACTGATGATATTTGAAAATTCAGATTATGTAGTCATAGAGATGTACAGTATGGGAACAGACCTCTCAGTCCAAGTCATCCACGCCAACCAGCTATCTTAAATAAATCTAGTCCCATTTGCTAGCACCTGGTCCATATCCTTTAAACCCTTCCTATTCATGTGCCCATCTAGATACCTTCTAAATGTTGTAATTGTACCAGCCTCCACCACTTCCTGTGGCAGCTCATTCCATACACACACCACCCCTCTCTTTTAAAAAGTTGCCTCTCAGGACCCTTTTAAATCTTTTCCCTCTCACTTTAAACCGATGCTCTCTAGTTTTGGACTCCCCTACCCTGGGAAAAAGACCTTGACTATTCACGCTATCCATACCCTTGATGATTTTATAAACCTCTATAAGGTCACCTCGCAGCCCCTAACCCTCCAGGGAAAATATCCCCAGCCTTTTCAGCCTCTCTCTATAGCTCAAACCCTCCAACTCTGGCAACATCGCTGTAAATCTTTTCTGAACCCTTTGGCCGTGATTCTTCGGCCATGATTTCTTTCCAACTGAGATTATTTCATACTTGCATGTCAAGGTACGGAGAAGGTATAATTCCAGCCATCCTGATTCCAGGTTAGACCCCACAGAAATTGCTGCCTGACAGATCGATGGGGGTATTAATTCAAGTGGCTGAAGACAATCACAGGAACAGTGCCCGACAGCTAGATAAGTGTTGTTTGTGTCAGGAAGGCAGTCTTATTTTGAGGTATAGGTAGAGATAAAAAAAAAACTCCCTCTGGCCCACATACAAACCTAAAAATGAAGTCAAACCTGGTCTTCTTCTGACCCACAATCCAGTTCCTGTCAGGTTTGACTTGGCTTGCTGATATTGAATGGGTTTAACTTAAAGTAGCAGGCCAGGTCCTATTGACATCAATGCAACCATATCTGAATGATAATGGGGACCACAGTGGCCAGTGACAGG